TTTTTAAATGCCCAACCCAATTTCTATTATTTCTTAATTAACTCCCCCCTGGAAGAGGGTGTAGCAAATTTTTTTAACAAACTTGACTTCCCTTAACCCAAAGATACTTGTGCCAATTTTGGTGGAAATTGGCCCAGTGGTTATTTGAGATGAAATTGAAAAAAAGATTACAATGACAACAACCACAACTACAACACAGACAGACAATGGACAAATTTTGATAAAAAAAAAAATAAAAACTCACTTGAGCCTTCGCTCCGGTGAGCTAAAAAGTTAGTCAGTGTGAACTACTTTTGAAAAATAGGTCCTAATATCCCAAAATGTCTCAACTAACAAGGTTCAATGATCCAAGTCCTTTAAGTATTGAAGTTAAACTGATCTGACAATAGTAATGATGAAATTCAAAGAGTAGGACACTGTCGACTACTTTTGAATTAAAACATAACAGGGCAACAAGACGAATCAATAATTTAGCATTGGTGACCCTACTCAGAAATAGGTCAATGTTACCTACTTTTTATTTGAAACACCAAGGCATAAAAATGTATAAACAGAAAAGGCTTGATGATTCTAAGCATCTTATTGTCATGCATATCTGTTTTTTAGCTATTAATATGTTTTGAAAATAAACTTCAGGAGTTGGGTCCCAATAAATGACATGGTTTGATGATTTTAGGCCTAATAATGCAAAGATGTAAATTTCAGAAAGCCACATCCAAGGGCCAAACAAGCATCAACTGACAGGGTTTGATGATCCTAGATTTCATAGTGCCCAAGACCTGCATCTAAAACAATTGGAAAATGAATAGCTGCAAGTCAAAAAGTAGGTCACTGTGACCTACTTTTAGGTCAGCAAATCTGGAAGTCCTAAAATGCATCAACTTTCAAGATTTAATATCCCTAAGCCTAGTGCTCATGGAAGGCAATATTTTTAATCATGGTCTTGCTGTTCTTGAGATTTTTAAATAATTTTCAGAAGTTTCACCGTTAAATGACCATACCTTATCTTCATCCTTTTTATTTAACAAGAGGCCCAAGGGCCTTGAATCACTCTTCTGATAAACTGTACAACCTATCACTTCTATTTGAAGCCTGTAAGTATCCTGTATATTTAGTTAAACCCTTGAAATTCCAATTCACATTCCGAGAACCAAAGATGATTCTAAGACAACTAGTACCTGAGAGTTGGTCAGGTGACCTACGTATCATTTGTCATTCTCTGAGGACCCATCAACTAAGTTTGATGATTCTAAGCCAACTAATACCTAAAATATTTTTTAAAATTATAACCATAAAATTTATAAGTAGGTCAAAGTGACCTACTTTTCAGTTGTTGTACTCCCAGGACACAAGATGCATCAACTGACAAAATTTGATGATTCTAAGCCAATTAGTACCCAAAATATTTAATTAAAGCCATAAATTTTCAAAAGTAGGTCACAATGACCTACATTTCAGTGGTTGTATTCCAAGGACCCAAGATGCATCAACTGAAAAAATTTGATGATTCTAAGCCAATTAGTACCCAAAATATTTAATTAAAGCCATAAATTTTCAAAAGTAGGTCTTGGTGACCTACATTTCAGTTGCTGTATTCCAAGGAATGTCAGACACCTCGGCCCAACGACACCTCGGCCCAACGACATCTCGGCCCATTGACACCTCGGCCCCGACGGGTCGGCCCAAGATTTGAGACACCTCGGCTCACGTAAAAGACACCTCGGCACAAACAAAAATGTATTATTTTAAACATATTTATTTAATATATTCTGAAGTATTTTATTATTATAGGGACTAAATGCGACGGAGTATATTATTATATATCCATGAAATAAAAAAGAAAATAAATGAATAATCTTCCGAGAGTAAATATTGACGGTAATTAAAAAAAGAAGACACGGTGCATCCTTTGGCGTCTCAAGCGCGTGTCATACGGGGTGGTGACAATTAGGAGTTAAATTAATCCAATTGTTGGGTACAAACCACATATCTACCTTGGTTGGTTTTGGGAAATATATCCATTATGCTCTAATATTACGCAACGAAGATCTATCAGGTTAAAGTGACAGTACGGCGCATCTCATCAAAAAACTGACTAGATAAAATTTTCCGACAAGATTTGGAATTTTTTTACTACTCATAAATGTATAAACATTCAGAAAATTACAACTTTTACAATTAAATTATTTGGATTATCTCATTAAAATTAATAGTTATTTATGGGACGTAAATATATACATCGCAACGTGTTCGGGGTTCCACATTCCATGCTGTGCACGCATGCGTAGTTTTCATAAACAAAACAGCATGGTTAGAGAGGGAATCCCGGTAGGCCTGCTACATTGACAAAGTCGACTAAAAATAAAAAGAAACTGAAAGTAGAACTTGAAAAAGCAACTTTCCTGACTAAAATTTAGTTTGGGGATTAATATAATCGCTGGGTAAGGAAGAAACGGGAACTCGGCGACACTCACACAGGGCTCTCGACGGTTCTATTCGACAGGTTTGTTGATACTTGTTATCATTTCTCATTTTTCCGTCGCTTTCAAAGAAAAAAAATTGTGTAAACTCAGCATATTTCGTTTGACATTTGCTGCGATAACGTATGATTAGTTGGTTTTTCCTTTCTCGGACCCAAATACACAAAACGTCAACATTTGTACTTTTAATTCTGTTAAATTTGCCAAAATGCAGACTAAAATCTTTACGATTATTATTTTAGATTGTTTTATCAGGATGTTATGATAATTTGTGTTTTTGATAATTGCTTTCACGTAATATTCATCATGTTCATTATAACTGTAAACTCTACAGTGTAGGCACGTGCCGTTTTAGAATTCACGTGGTACAAATAAACAGATCTAAGATTGCTCCAGTTTGTACGATCCTTGATTTTCCGGCAGATTCTAATTACGTTAATTTTGATTGAGTAGAGAATATTCCTGTTTCTCAAACTGCTTACATCAACTTTATACCTTATTTCTTAATGACATATTGGGTAAATTTGGATGAAAAAGCACACATTTTGCAGCCGTACTGTCGCTTTAACGTAATTTCTATCTGTGAGGTTAACATGTGTAGAATACGCCCCTACTAAAAAGTGATTTTTAAGTAAAAGAATTCTTAACATTATGAAATGAATAAGGTTGCATTTTCATAAGCAACAAAATAAATAAATAAATAGACCTTCTATCTCCCACTCAATAGATACAGCAGCTGACATAGATCTATATGTCATTAATCTATTTTGAAATTATTTGCCTCTGTTTTTTGTATACATATTGTCATTATAAACATACATATATTTATATTACCATAGTGAATACAGATAATAATTCTGAAAAAAAATTCCTTGGGCCGAGGTGTCTTCAGTATGGGCCGAGGTGTCAATATTTTTGGGCCGACCTGGCAGGGCCGAGGTGTCAAACGTGACGGGCCGAGGTGTTGTTGGGCCGAGGTGTCTGTCTACCATTCCAAGGACCCAAGATGCATCAACTGACAAAATGTGATGATTCTAAGCCAAATAGTACCCAAAATATTTAATTAAAGCCATTAATTTTCAAAAGTAGGTCACGGTGACTTACTTTTCAGTCAACCTACTCTGAGGATCCAAGATGCATCAACTACAAATTTTGATGATTCTAAGTGAAATAGTATGCGAAAATATTAAAATACAGCCATAAAATTTCAAAAGGTCACTGACCTACTTTTCAGTTGTTGTACTCCGAGGACCCAAGATGCATCAACTGACAAAGTTTGATGATTCTAAGCCAATTAATATCAAAATATTCAATTAAAGCCATAAATTTTCAAAAGTAGGTCACTGACCTACTTTTCAGTTGACCTACTCCGAAGACCCAAGATGCATCAACTGACAAAGTTTAATGATTCTAAGCCAATTAGTACCTGAAATATTTAATTAAAGCCATAAATTTTCAAAAGTTGGTCACAGTGACCTACTTTTCAGTTGACGTTTTTTGAGGACCCAAGATGCATCAACTTACAAAGTTTTATGATCATAAGCCTTCAAATGTCCAAATTATGCCTCTAAAACGCTTTGAAATCGAATGCCTGCAAAGTTCAAAAAGTAGGTCACTGTGATCTTCTTTTTAATAAATGTGTTTTATGGCCCCAAGATGCATCATCTTACAAGATTTAATGTTTCTAAATCTCTCGGTATTCGAATTAATGACATTAATTGTTTCGAAAAAGATTAGCCATAAAATTCAAAAAGTAGGTCAAGTTGACCTACTTTTTAGTTGACCTACTTTGAGGACCCAAGATGCATCAACTGACAAAGTTTGATGATCATAGGCCTTAAATTGTTCAAAATATGCCTCTAAATCATTTTGAAAAAGAATGGCCCCAAAATTTAAAAAGTAGGTCACCGTGAACTACTTTTGAGTCAACATGATATGAAGTCCTTAGATGCATCCACTGACAAGATTTGATGATCCTAGTCCTTATAGTAAGCAAAATATCAACATTTTAATAAAATGTAATTTTTGGTCAACTTTGAAGTGACCTTGAGACCACGCCCTTTGCCCCAGGGTGATGCTTTGAACAATTTTTAATCTACAACATATCCTCATCCTTTTGTGTAAGTTTGGTGGTAATCTGCCCAGTGGTTCTTGAGAAGAAGATTTTTAACAACCAGTACTTTTGTTTCTATTTTCCTAATTATCTCCCCTTGTTAAAGGGTCACAACCCTATTTTTAGTACAAAAGGGAGCCCTTGGGTCAAGGATACCTGTGACAAATTTGACAATAATTGGCCAAGGGGTTCTTGAGTTATGGCCCATATTCTAAAAAGTTTACGCACACCGCACAAATGGCCATAGCATTAGCTCTTTGAGCCTTTGGCTCAGAAGAGCTAAAAATGTCCCCTTGAAGAGGGCCTAGCATTTTATTAGAACAAAGTTGAATCCCAATTACCCAAGGGTGCTTTTTTGCAAGTTTGGTTGAAATTAGTCCAATTGCTCTATTGAAGTCTAAAATTACCTGCATTAATTTGAGTTTCTGGTGCACACACTTCAACTGTGGCATTCTGCCATGGATTTATGACACAATGATATGAAAGTTTTCCTTTACATGCATGCTCATAATGTGAGCAGTTCTTCATCTCTGCCGCTTCCCTCCACTTCATTTTGTCTGTAGGGCAATTAAGAACTTCAGTCCGTGTACTTTGTGATGCTTCACAAAACTCAGAGTCCAACACTGAAGAATGTGCATGTGGCACACATATAATCTGAAAATGTGAAAACAAATGTATCCACAAATAAGCCAACAGCCATAAATGATAATAAACCTATATAGCTCCTAAATCTGATTAGTCAACCATACTTTTCCTTTAAGGTGGTATGGGATACCAAACGAAACTTCTTCTACATATTTATGTACCCAAATTAGAAGGATTTGAAATACCCCCACCTTTCAGTATATTAAAGTGTAATTTTAATAATTTTTTTATTATTTTAATGAGAAATACAAAAACGATTTTTTTTTCTTGCATAATTCTTTTTTCATAAGCTTAATATTATAGGCAGGCGTTTGCTAATATAAAGTGTTTATAAAAACAAAAATGACAAGAAATATGTCTTAGTATTTTTTTAATTTTCAACAAAAAATAAGCGTAAAAAACTGGGAAAACTTTATTTCTTGAAAACAGACGGATAACATTTCATGAAAGTCTACAATAAGAATGTATCTTAATATGTTAGCAAAGTGAAATAAACAAATTGAAAATATATATATAAATGGAAAATATAAAATGCATTTAAAATTTTTTGAATTAAAAGATCCGAGCGGAAGAGTTATCCTTCTTTATTTTCCAAGGGTTGAAAAAACCTGGGTGCTATTTTAGAAATGATGAGCATTTTTCCCAACCATAAAAAAAATCGCACTCTATAGTTTTCAACTTTGAGCGGTTTTGAAAACAATGCATGGACAATCGCTTTCCAGGACGTGTCTTGTTCAGAGCAATTGCATTCATCTGAACGTTTTGGGACTATATACAACAGCTAGCTGATTTGTGACCAAACAGTTACTTCTTGAATTAAATAACAAAAAAGTCCAGCTCTGGTTAACGTGATAATTGATTGGTGATAATTCAGCACAATGTGAAGTAATCGCACTTATCCATGCCTCACCGCACACAAGGTGCTGTACAGTTACTCAAACAATTGAAATACAGCTTTTGCTTAAAAGTGTTCAAAAGCAGCAATGTTGAAACTACCTTTTACAGGGGTTTGCTTTTTTAAATGTCCGTTGTACAATTATAAGTAAATTTATATACTTGCGATTTTTTTGTCTGTTTTTACTTAAAATACCGACTTGTGAGAACTTGCATTGAAATAGGCTTCAGAGTGTTCTTTTCAACGGTGTATCTACAAATTTTGACCCGATAATAAGCACTCATGCAAATCAAAACAATACTTCAAACGGAAATACGTCATGACGTGGAGGTATCCCATACTACCTTAAATTTCAATGATTTATCACATTGCTCATCTTTACAAGTTGCCTGCATGGGGCAATGGTTAGAATGTTTTCTTTACACAATAAGTTCAGAGCAAGATCCATTATTACATGTATTAAGAGCTCAGAGTTGCTTAGCACATGAAGGCATGGTTCATTGATGATATATACATTGTATTAACACAATAACACTGCTCGAAACAGTATGTGAAAAGAATAAATTATCAAAGTTTCAAAAATTTCACACAAAGACTTCTGCGACATAGGTCCTCCCTTAAATGCTTGACAGTGTGACAGAAAACTGTTTGGGTGACTGCAATTTTTTTTTTTTTGTCTTTTCTTTTTTTTAACTGAATACTTTATTTTTATTTTAGATTATATATTATATTTCAGAATGTGGAGATAATGAACAGAAATCAAGCTAAAAATCCACAGAAACAATACAAACCGGGAGCAGAGCAAACACAGACCTCTAAAAAAACATCAAGGTGGGATCAGGTGCCATGGATGATTAAGCATCCTCTATCAACTGGTCATACCCACCATGTGCTCATTCTCACGATGGGGCAAATGGAAAAATCCATAGATGATTCAGTGTTTAAATAATGGCCAATTATTAGTACAAAGAATGTCAGTCGGCATTCGACTTAATGATAGATTGTATTTGCTGACAAGGTCGTTGTATCATTCTACTCTGGATAACACTGGTTCCATTGAAATAAATGATTACAGACAACATTTAAAACAATAGACTTTAGCAAAAGAGATTGGAAATTTTCATTATTATACAGGGCAAGCAGGATTTTAGAATTATACATAACATTTGGATTAGACAGGTTTTCCGGTATATAATACCCTTTTTAGCTTTACAAAGATCCAGATGAATGTCCATAGGCATTTGGTCTAGACTGTGACATCACATCACTTGTCACATGTTAGAAGTTGTATTTCCAACATGAAGTCCAAAGAGATGTCTAAAAAATGCAATTTTTACCAATTAAAGGCCTTTGCGGTGTGCATGTCTTTAAGAGAAGACACGATTATTGTTGTTCCTTTGAGCTCTTGACAAGAATTCAAATTTGGTCGCATATATATGCTTCGTCCACTATCATTATATATAATAGCAAGGATTTATGTTACTCAGGGAATTCTGGAAGATGTTTATATATAAAAATTTGCTCAATCAATTTAAAGATTTATAAGTTAAATCTGTTTTAACACATTAATCTATAGAGCTTTTTGTGCTTAAAAACTGTTATAATATCTAAACATGCTATATGCTAAAATTTATTGCATCATTCTACATGTACTTTCTGTAGTCTTCCAAGCATCAATGATTCTATGTTAGCATTGGCACATTATCAACATGATCAAATCAGCATAGGATCAACATACATCTGTAACATGTATAACTATATAGCATGAATTAACATGAAATTGATTTTAAAAGCAAGCAAGTGCACAAGTATTCAATGAAAATCAGCATTGCTAACATAAGCAAAAATCATATCTTAGATCTTCCAAAGAAAACTTTAATGGCTGACTTAACTGACAATCTCTACACAGACATTTTTATTATCCAGTACAAGTAATTAAGAATTACTGACTTTTTTTCTTTATAAAAAAGAGTCCTGTGCCCTTTCAATTTGGAATTTTAAATCGAAAAAAAGGTAAAACTTGGAAATATTGAGTTGCAGACAATATATATATTAATTATTACTGTTGAATGAAGAGAGTAACATTGAAGGCTTATTCTCCATACATCTTTATGAATCATTTAAATTTCAATTTTCAACTCAATTTTTTTTTAATAGAAAGAACACTGCAAAATTCAACCTGCTTTGTCATTTTGAGAATTTTCCCAAAATTTTGGGGGAAAAGAGTCATACTTAAGTTGGGACAGCTAGGACCCTTTTAAAGGATCTGGATGCAAGGGTTATTAATTAAGCCCTGCAGAGCACCATAAACACTGACAAATTACAAATGTACATTATATACAACTTTCAAATCTTAAGAGATATCCCTCTTTGTCAGCTTAACAATCATTTTTCTCACTATATATCTTTTGTAACATAACTGTAAATATTTTAATCTTTCAAACAGTTACACTTTCTGGCAATTTTGTACATTCATGTATTGCCATAGTACATGTATGGGCCGGGCAATATAGAAAACATTATGAACATGTATATATTATATATAATTATATATATGTACATGTATATATATAGATTTAGTGTACACTGCCCCATAAAGTTTGTAGTGATACAGGTTACACCGATTGAGCCCAGATTGACCCGGTAGAGGGAAATAACTCTTGTAGTGAAAGTCGTCCATTATACTTACCAATAACAAATATTTTAAACACTGTCCAAGTCCAGAAATAAGTAGAAGCAACATTGTAAATGTGTCATCTATAATGTTCGATCTCATTCACCTTGAACCATATCTACAAATTTTAAAATATCAGTGTCATGAGTGTGGAAAGTGAAATCAGGTGCAGATCCAAGAATCTTTTCCATGGAGAGAGGGGGGTTCAAACCCAGTCAAAAATAAAATCAAACCCGAAAATTTTTTGTTGACAAGCAAAAAAAAAAAAAAAAGAAAAGAAACAAACAAATATGTAAGCTCTCCCCCCCCCCCCCCTCCCCTAAAAAAAACTATTTTCGGGGTTAGGGGTTGGTGGTGGGCCATTTTCCTTCATTTATCAGGTCCGGCACAATCTCTTGATTTAGCTATATAGCTTGATTTAGCTATTTAAGAAATAAAGTCCGCGTTATCGTGAATGTTGCAGGATAACCTCCGAGGTCGAGAAATGTTGTCTGAAATATAAAAGCCGAGGCGTTAGCCGAGGCTTTTATATTTCAGACAACATTTCGAGACCGAGGAGGTTATCCTGCATCATTCACGACAACAAGGACTTTATTTCTATTCTACTAACGGCTCTAAAATACAGTTGATCGTTTTCTCTATAGAGAAACGAATTAGGTCACCATGTCGCAATTTCGCTGTTCCATTTAACACCAAAGGGTCAATCGATTGCATAAAATGCAGACGATTTCAGCTTTTGTTGGATTAAAAATATCCTTTAATTATTTATAAATTTGCTTGTAACATATGTTGATTAATTTTTATGAATGAAAAATAATAAAACCAGTTGTCTATTTCATTGATTTATCAGTAAAATCACGGGAGTGTAAATGTTGTGGGGAGGTCCGTAGAACAGCCCCACTTGGCTATAAAAACGGATATTTATCAGCTGTTTCAGGCAATACACACGTTTAGACTGCGGAAGACGACACATTGATGTGGTCTAAATAAGTATTAGATTATACAGTAAAATATTTATTTCAACTGAACAGATTTGACATGTGTTTCTGATCTGATAATTTTTTGATGACGTTCGTGATTTATTGGAGAATAATGTCCGCGGCATTTCTTTGATCTCGGCAATAATCGTAGTAGAATTAGCTTTAATATGCAATTCAGAATAGCTTGATTTAGCTATTTTATCACACTTTTTTCTTAGATGTGTTATTTTCTCAGCATGCACTAAAAGTCGCACCTTGGTGCAGTGATAATATTCAACCTTGAACTCTTCTGAAAATAATGCATGTAAAACTCACTCATCAAATTACGTCTCCTTAAGGACATACGCAACGTACTTTGAACATTATTGTCTTTTTCCCTGGAGTTGAAGAGTTCCAATACTTAAAGGAACTGTGTGCTACATTTTAATTTCTATATACGCTGTTGTACACTTCTT